TTTTTTTGTCACCATGAGAAAATAAGTACATTTGATAAAAAGCATTAAAATCACTCAAGCATTAAAGACACTTTTAAATGCTCTAATAGTCTTCCTACTTAAAATAAGAAATAATTTTGATACTGTAACTTTTTAAAATGTTTGTTGAAAAAATTTCAAATTTCAGTACATATTTTGAAAAAAAAGAGTGAAAATGATTATAGAGTTTCAGTGCTTTCTATATTGTATTAGCTTTCACGGTGAATAAAAAAATATTACAAGTAAATAATTTTACTAAACCAATCTTTGATTAATTCTTGTAATAGAGATTTATTATGCAACTTTAAATTTTTCGTTGTGTTGATATCCATAAAAAAAACTACCTACCTCTGATCACATTTTTTATTAAAGAAAACAAAAAAACAAAACATTTTATTATTAATAAAAAAATGTGATTATATGATGATCAGACATTATTATGTTATATAAATAAATGTGAATGAAATATCTAATAAAACACACTAAAAACACAAATAAAACACACACCAACACTCGCCAAACCTAACCAACAATAAACATCAGCAATAAGAATGACATGAAATGATTCATAATTACAATTGTCAAAATTTATTCTACAAAATCTTTGTGGCGACATCTATAGACTCTTTCCCCAACTTGTATATCCATCTCAAGTCACGTGGTTCCCAGTGTCCCCATATTTTCAAGTATAAGTTCTCGGGCCCTGTTTATAGTGTAGTGTAGTGTTAGTATATTCAAGTCTCATTTTTAGACACCAATACAACCGTGCATTGTTTATTTTTAAAAAATTGCCAACATGCACGCAGGAACGACAAGAAAACAGTTTCCAGATTTCTTTACTACCAAAGGACCCATTCAGATCAACGTAATGCCTCTGAAAATGAAAAACAATATATACTGGATGTCCGTAGTGTTAAATGAGGATGAAGCCAACGGTTACCAACAACCCCATCTAAAATCTTACGACGATAACGAAGAAGGCTTACTAGATTGCGGCGACATTGAAGACAGCTACGATATAAATTTAACAAAGTCCGGCAAATTTATGTCTTCATTTTATGTGCCCTCTTCCTTACTGTCTTATGTAATCGGCGCAAAAGGTGTTAGATTGAAGGGTTTGCAAAGAAGTACAAACACGTTAATAAAAGTACCTAAACTTAATGAAAAAGGCGAAGTTAAAATCACGGGAGACACTGAGAGAAACGTGGCCTCGGCTCGAACTCAGTTATCTATGATCGTCATGAAGCAAAAGGATAAGCTACCGATTAGTCATTTTGTTTCGATACCCATGGTTTCGGATAAAGTAAAGGAGAAATTAATGGAGTTTCAAGACAGGATACTTCGCCAACCTCCTAAAGGGGTAACGCCGTCAATTTTTCAGAAACCTGAAAAGTTGCACTTGACTATTTGTACCCTAACGTTGGTGGACGATGAAGAAATTAAAGCCGCCAAAGAGGTGTTGCAACAGTGTTATGATGAAATAATTTCTACTTATTTTAATAAAAATGAAAAACTCAAAATTGCCCTACAGGGGCTTGAAATTATGAACGACGATCCTTCGGAAGTTAACGTCCTTTATGGTATTGTTGAAATGGCCGACAGCAGTCAAAGAGAAAAGTTGCAAGAAATTGCCGATAAGATAGCGGAATACTATTACAAGTCTGGTTTGGCAAGGAGGCAGTATGATAGAGTTAAACTGCATGTAACGCTGATGAACACTAGATTCAGAAATGCAGATGAAAAACCTGAAACTTTTGATGCGAGACAGATATTAGCACAATTTCGGAATTATTGTTTTGGATCTGTAGATTTTAGTAATATTCACTTATCTGTTAGATTTACCACTGGGGAAGATAATTATTATGAACCTGCTATGATAATAAACCTATAAATAAATTGTTTTTTTTCATAATTACAAAATTTTGCGTTTTGGTCAATATTTTTTTCCTAATCAGTTTATTTTTTTTTAATAGACAGTTTATACAGAATTAATGGTTAACACATTTTAGTTTTACTACGAACCAATACAAGTTACTGCTTGTTATAGTTGAAGGCACAATATCATTATATTTTATTTGCTTTGTGTTCTATTTTGTTATTTTGAATTTTGGATGTTCCCTATTCCCTTATTTCAGTATTTTTTAGTTTAGAGTAAATAAATTCTAATCTAGGGGAAACATAAGGCAAAGCTAATAATGATAAATTCTAAATTTAAATTTTAAGATACTTTAATAAACTTTCCTAAATATCAAATAATGTTTAAAAATAAAACATGTTTAAAATGACAAGGTTTACCTTAGATAGACCAAATTGGTTTTATTGCATATTAATAGGTGGCGCGCTGTAGGTTCACAACACATACTTCTATATGTATGGATAGAAGTATGTGGTTCACAACAACGACCTCAGAAAGAATAGACAGTGCATTGTCTTGGTTTGTTTTGTTCTGCTGTAAATATTTTGAGAACTCAGCCTCCTATTGGCTAAAGACATGTGGTAAGGTGCGCGCGCAGTACCTGCTCTATGCTAGATGTTTATTATTGTTTACGACTGTCGGCCGCCATTAATTCTTTGCGTGCTTACTGAGTTTAACGTTGTGTTTACCGTGGATTATTAGTTTCTTTGGCAGAATTTATTGTTTTTGTGAATAGACAATGGGAAAATATTGTGTTATATGTAGATTTCGCTTTAAAAGTGGAGGCAATCGCTCTTTTCACAGGTAGGTAGATTTACCATGGGCGTAACAGATAACAGACGGTAGTTTAAAACAAAATTTGAAATAGAAATTTTTCAGTGCAATAATATTGAAAATATAAAATATTTTTTTAAAACTTGAATTGTGTGTTACGGTTAAATAAAAAATAACATGAATTGCAAAGGCAACATTATTTAAAAGGAAATATACCTAGGTAATTTGATTTTAGGATTCCTTCGAATGTTGAACGCCGAGACGTTTGGCTCTCTCGCATTTTGAGCTGCATAGGAAAGGAAAATAGTCCTAAAGATAATGTTGTATGTTCAGATCACTTTACATCAAGTGATTTCTTAATAAGATTTGGTGGCCGAGTTTATCTTAAGGACACAGCAGTTCCTGAGTTCCCAAGTTCGTTTAGTCAAAATATAGGACCCCTATTAAAATTGTATAAACAATTTTTTGCACATAATTCGGGATCACTTTGTAGCAATTGTCACCATAACAAATTAGAACCAATAAATCTGTTTTAAGAATTTAAACTTAAAAATATGTGTAATAACCCCATTTACTATTTCTCTTTCATTTATCACTTAATTGTCCTACTTGATATGCATATTATTGTATACAAGTATAGTATAGCTACCATACTATATGCAACTGTAACTGTAACTTTGTGATTCCTATTTGAACTGGTAAAAACTTTTATTAATTAGTATTATTTAACATATTGATGTATATTGTTACTGAGAAAATAAAGATTGTTGTAACTAGTATTACTTTTTTTCGGCAGTAAGTGGTGTTATGGAGTAAAACAAACATGGTTCTATTTATTTAAAAAAGAAGTCATTAACATTATTTTAACACCAAATTAGGTGTGAAATCGGTAGGTATATATAAATTAGACAAATATTAAAATGTATCACCCTTTTTAACACACACGCCACTGGTTAAGAGTTCCTTAGTAAACAAAGAACTATCTTCATCCTTGTTTAATAGCAGGATGTCTCAAGTTGTGGAAAATCAAAACAATTCCTTTGCAATGCATAGGGAATTACTTGTCTAGTCATTCTGAGGTCTTTGGTTCACAAAATCAGACGGAGGTTTTGATCAATCTTAAATATATGATCTAGGGACAGGAAGAAGCAGAATAGCTGTAGACAAAAAATGAACTAGGCAAGTGTCTATTTTTTTTAATTATTTTATACCATTTTTCATAATTTGAAGTAACCTTACATTAATTTTAAAACTATATTTCTGTGCAACTATTAAAAATATTTTCACATAATTGCCTTATGTGTGTTCGGTATTGACATCCAGATGCTCTAGATATTTCTCTTTGTCTTTTCATCTCTTACAATAAAAAAAGAACAAAATACATCTAGAGCGTCTAGAGTTAATGCTGAACTTGCTTATAGAGATGTGTTGCTCTTTCATTGTCTGCTACTTTGGCACTGTTCCGCAGTTGTCACTGGAGCTGACTGTTCCGCTGCGACAAAAGAAGCGGTAATTTTTCGGAGCGTTTACTTCAAAGTGCAATTTACTAGCGCTCAGGCGTGCCGGCCACAGCAGAGCAGATTCTCGCTCAGCCGTTGCGATCTGCGCTTGTATTAGTCACAGTGTCACACACTAAACACAATACAGTCTCAGTACAGTCGTGTTTGATTTAAAGACATTGTATTTCAGCGACTATATAGAGCAATGCGTGTATTGCTGGTTGCTGCGCTACAAATATTTTAACAGTTTTTGTTTACAAAATCACATAGACAGCAAAAAACATGCGACTGTTCATTTGTTTTTGTTGCACTCGCGGAAAAATTTTGAATATCTGGCACTGTACTCACTGTATGATGTCGTCGTTCTATGTGTCTTTTTAAATTGGTGATTGAAGATTTATAACAAATATTTTGCTTGCATATATGTATTACAACAAGGTTTACTTTCATGCGTTGGTAAAAATAAATTCCACAGGAAAGATTTTCTTCGTTTATCCATTTCCAATTTTATTTGTAATAAAAATTTATTAGTAGTAATTTAGGACAAAATAACGGGTCACGACGCTATATCAAATTCAAATAAATAATGCGAAAGCGAAATACCAAATTGAGCTAAATCTACGAAAGTTGGCACATGACATGCTTGAAAAACAGCGCATAACGAAAGTATCCCTAACGCTAGCCGCTATTAAGCACTACAGGTGTCGATTTATGAACTCTGACGCGGAAATAAGGGAACAATATCACGGTAGGAATGTATGCGCGCGCTACCAGGAGCTGTTCCGAAAAATCGCAGCTATTTGTCACTGCTCTGTTGCCGGAGCAGTAGCAAGTGTCACTGCTCCGCAAAAAGAGCAGTTTAGCCCATCTCTACTTGCTTATACAAAGATTAATTTGTGAACATTTGATCTCGATGTAATAGCGAACTTTTAGAAGAAGAAGATCGGAAGCAGTGTTACCAGATCTCCTGTTTTCACTCTCACTCTCCTGTTCTACTGTTTTCACTATGAGATCTCCTGTTTTTAATTCCAATGTATATTCTTCTGGTTTCTCTATGAAATCTTCTGTTGATTATACTAATTTTCCCCAGAATAAGAATATTTTAGTACGACACTGTTCTCTAACGGCACTGTATTCGTCACTTGTCAATATTTTCAGTTCTGTTATATTTTCTGTAGCCCAGTTCATGTACATTAAATTTTAAATCCGCAATTCGCGTTTATATGAACTAGGCCTAACAGAATAGAAGGCGAGTTCGTTTACTTCAGCGGGATTCCGGGATTTATCATTTTGACAATTGACTGTTGTCAAATCACGTGACGTATTGATGTAATTGAAAACTATTAAACAAACTCCTACATTTATATATTTTGCTATATTTTGTGCATGTACTTGTGTTCCTCTATTAAAAAATATATTTATTAAAATCTCCTGTCGAAAAAAGAAATCTCCTGTTTTTTTGGCTACATTCCTACTGTTGACAGAAATTTCCATCTGGCAACACTGATCGGAAGTAAAGCTTTCATAACCTAACTTTTAAGACATTTGAAAATGAAAATATTTTGATTTAAATTTTACAGATATATACAAGTAAGCATTACAGTTTTGTGTGTATTTATTAAGTACTTAAAAAAACATATTTTGTAGTTATGGACTTAGATTATTCCACTAAAGCACAGTTAGAAATCAGGCTGTATCAAAAAGTAAAAAATATGAAGGATTTAAAACGCAAATTAACAAAAGGCCAATTAAAGTGTTGTATAATAAAACCTTCTCTCATATACGACCCGTTTCAAGTAGTTGTTGCTGCCAATAAGGCTCTTACGGCAGAGAAACTTACAACAAAAACCATTTTCACCGAAATCTTATTCAATCTGTCTATCTCGAAACATATCACTAAAAGCTTGCAAACGTTTAGTGTCGGTGATGATGATGAAAATTTGTTGGTCGTGACTCTTGCTGATGGTGATGATGGTGAAGATGAAAGTATTTATAATGCAATCGATGGCGAAGAAGTTGAATTGTCAAATTTGAGAAGCTTTAGTGATATGAATGAAATTAAGAAAGTGTACAAAATTAGTGAAAAAGAAACTCTAAATGTTCCCTTTGTCGATTCTATTGTTAGTAGAATAGCTACTAAAGATTTCTTGTCTCATTAAAAAACTTGCTCCGATTCCTTATTTCATCCTTTTTTGAATGTTGTTTTATATTTACCATTTTTCAATTGATCTGTATAATTCAAGTTTGGTCAGAAATGATAGTTACAAACAGATTATAAAAAAATATTTCTGGCTGGATTTAGTTTTATGGTAATAAAAATCTTAAAATTGGGAATGAGAAGACCTTTTGTATCAGAGCTTGTGTTAGAATAAATTTGCCATTGGAATGCTCTTATTTTTATATAGCACGACTGTTGAAAACGCCTTTGACCTTAATTGCATTTTGACAGCGAAAATGCAAAATGACAGATTGTTGTCACTCGAGTGCCATGCTTTTACATTTAGGTGATTTTATTGCGTTTTAGATGAAATTTAATCCAAATTTATTAAATGTGATCTAATTTGACCTCTTGGTAGTGATAAAAGACTTCGTAATATGTTAACTATGGCCGAGGTTACTGCTAATGGTGATAAGGAGGAGGTGGATGAAAAAGAAATAATTACAGATAAGGATTTACCTTTGAGTTTTACTCAAGATAGACATTTGGAACCTATACAGGGTATAGATTGTATTACACAGACATGGAGAATGAAAGAGAGGGTAAATTCCACCTTGTACTGTTGAACCTCTTGAGTTTACATGTTGCCCTTTAATTTCAGATGAAAACAGTCAGTGTGGCTCTTGTTCTCTGTTTAAATGTTGGAGTTGATCCTCCCGATGTTGTTAAAACACAACCTTGTGCAAGATTAGAATGTTGGATAGGTAAGATACATAATCCTCAAGTATCTGAATCCCAAATCTAATACAGTTTGAAAGTGTTACACTTTTTAATATGTTTTGTATATATTGAACATTTAAAAAAATTCTTAGATCCAATGCAGATGTCTTCTACGAAAGCTTTAGAGAAGATAGGTCAGACTCTACAAACACAGTACGAAAGGTGGCAGCCTAGAGCCAGGTATAAGCAATCGTTGGACCCAACTTCTGATGAAGTGAAGAAGCTTTGCACTTCGCTACGAAGAAATGCCAAAGAGGAAAGGGTGTTGTTCCATTATAATGGGCATGGAGTCCCTAAACCTACTACTAACGGTGAGATATGGGTGTTTAACCGGGTGAGTAAAGTTTTCACATCAAAAACCTTATTTATTTATTTTTTTATACTTTAGTTTTAACCGTTAACGTGTTTTTGAATATATACACTATCGGACAAAATTAGAGCATGTAAATAAAATATGTGAAGAAAGGAATGTCAGGATTTGAATTACATCGAAAAGCTTTGAAAAATATATTTATTTGTTTGAATTTTGTCAGATACGTTATATAATACAGGGAACAATTCATTTTCTTAATTTTATCAAAGTTTGTGCAATTTGGAATGTTATAAAGGTTTTATTGATTCAATGTTTTGTGAAATTTTTTTTTTTGACAAACAAAATGGAAAATTTTGGGACAAAATATTAATTCATATTTTCACTAACCAAATATTGAAAGAATAAATGCATGCATATTTTGTGTGAAAGAAATATTTTATAACATCTTAGTATGTTTGTCTTATTCTAGACGTACACTCAGTACATTCCACTGTCGATATTCGATTTACAAACCTGGATGGGGGCCCCTTCTATCTACGTATACGATTGCTCTAATGCAGGAATTATAGTAGACTCCTTTAAACAGTTTGCTATTCAGCACGAAGTTGAATTCGAGGTGAGTTTAATCGTTTAAGACCGTTTCCCAGTTCCAAAATGCTATCACATATATAAAATTTTGATGATTTTGTTAGGAAAAAAAAATTGTCTTCATATATGCTGCGTTTAACTTTTCACAGAACTGCTCATATATCTATATTATTTTAAAATTAAAAGTTGTGACATTTTAGTATGAAAATAATTACGTGCAAAATGTTTATTTAAATTAATTTTAAAAAATATATATCAGCGCTCTAAATTTTAGTAATATATTCTAATTTAGTATCCTCGGAAACCTTTTTCTGCCAAATTAGGATAAAATATCTTTAAAGGTGCTCACGATATGGATGCCCATACATTTCGTTTTTTTTTCTTTAGCAAAAACTTTAATTCAAAAACTGTCAAAGTTAGATGAGATTTTTAATATTTGTTTTAAGTAATACTCTGTTAGAGAAGAAACAAAATTACAATCTTAAAACTAAATAAACAGTTATATTAATTTTTGTAATAATTTTAAGAAAAAAATGTTAAAAGTATAAGCTTTATATTACAGAAGATTTAGAAAGGAAAATTAGGCAGACATGGTGAAATTACCGGGCAATACAAAAAAAAGAAAAGTAATAAAAGAGTTGAAACATGCATAAAAAAGGTTGGTTAATTGAAACGAAGGGTCCTATTTATTTATTTAATGTTATTCCATTATGTTTTTTGTTTGTTCTTTTACGTTGTATTTTTTGTTGTGAATATTTTCAATGAAAGTGAAAATATTAAGGGCTGATAAAGAATTCATTAAAAAAAACATGAGTTAAAGAAGAAGCTTTAACTTTAATAATCTGTAACGATTACGCCAGCAACTAAAAAAATTATCATTTTGGCCATGAAAAGTGAAACACCGAGCACGTATATATTTTTTTGTAGCAAAGTATGTCGCAGCAGAAGATGGGTTCCGCCCACCCGCCACCGTCGTACAGGAACTGCATCCAGCTGGCGGCTTGCAGCGCGAATCAAGTGTTGCCCATGACTCCGGATCTGCCCGCAGACCTCTTCACCGCATGCCTCACAACACCAATCAAAGTTGCCTTAAGATGGTTCGTCTTGCAGCCTACCTCGAAACTAATGCCAAAAATCACCCTGGACCTCGTAGATAAGTAAGCGTGTTGCGTATTCCTTTTTTCGTGCGTCTGTAGCTGAGGAAACGATACATTATTCGTTCGTTTCAGTATTCCCGGACAAATAACTGACAGGAGGACCATGCTAGGTGAATTGAATTGGATTTTTACCGCCATAACGGACACGATAGCCTGGAACACTTTGCCGAGAGGTAAGTCTGTCTTGTTTGACGTTGTTTTAGTTGAAAATTTTTACTCGTTTTTATTTTTGGTAACAATAACGGAAAATAAGATTGTCCCTACAGAGTGTCGAACAAAATTAGAGTGATTTACATTAACTTATCGGTGCATGAACTAAATGCTTTGTAAGCGTTATGGTAATGTATTCGAACCATTCCGTATATAAAACATAGCGTTGGCGAAGATTCTGCTGGAATAAAATTAGAGAGAGAAAAATTAAACCCATACTGCGGTCTCCTAGATCACCAGAAATTAATCCCAGGGACTTCTTTATCAGGAGCTACTTGAAAGAACATATTGCGTAAGCCTGTTGTTAATAAAAAAGCTTTTATAGTTGAATATATGTCTTGAAATTTGTTCATTTTGTGTAAAAAACGGATTAATTTGTTTCATTTTGAGTTATTGTGTAATTTTTGAGTGTACATTAGAGTAATTTTTCTAGCAGCTGTAAAGACTGAACAGAATTCCCTTAAACTCCTGTCACTGAGCAGCTCCCAAACTCGGTTGTATGTGAGCATTTATCAGTGTTGCCTGTGTGACGTGTCATTTTAAAGTCACCATATTTTTTTGTCAATAGGGACTAAGTGCAGGTTAAAAAATGTTCCGATGTTCTTAAAAATTAAATATATTCAAGTTTGTTATATTGCAGAGCAACACACATCCAAGTGCATCAGTATAATGGATTTCCATTAATAAATTATTTGTAACGCCACATCAAAACCTTATTTCAGAGCTATTCCAAAAGCTGTTCCGCCAGGACCTCCTCGTAGCCAGCCTGTTCCGCAACTTCCTCCTGGCGGAAAGAATCATGCGATCCTGCGATTGCACGCCCGTGAGCCATCCCGCTCTGCCCCCGACCTACCAACACCCCATGTGGGACGCCTGGGACCTTGCCTTAGATCTAAGCTTAGGACAATTGCCGAAGATGCTGAAGAACGAGGAACAGTTCCAGCACTTGCCTTTCTTCGAGGAGCAGCTCACGGCTTTCCAAGTGTGGCTCGAACTGGGTGAGTTATAGTACATTTACAATTATTTAAGTATTCGAAAATCGTGAAAAAACGCAAGCAAGGTCCTTAATGCGTCGTTCACCAGCCACTCTTTCAGGTTCCGAGGAGCGCAATCCCCCCGAGCAGCTGCCGATAGTGCTGCAGGTGTTACTGAGCCAGATCCACAGAATGAGGGCGTTGGAATTGCTCGGGCGGTTCCTCGATTTGGGACCGTGGGCAGTAAACCTGGCGCTGTCCGTCGGGATCTTCCCGTACGTTCTCAAGCTGCTCCAGAGCTGCGCAAGGGAACTCAGGCCACTGCTGGTGTTCATTTGGGCAAAGATTTTCGCTGTTGACAATGTGAGTATCAAGTTTCTTTTATTTTAATTCGTAAATTGTCATATTCAGTCTATAATTTTTTGGAAACTGTTCGAATAATTTTTTTTAGAGCGAAAGTGGCTCAAAAATTGCATTTTAAGTGTTTCTGTTTGATAACTGAAATAATGTGTAGGATAAGTTAAATAAAACAATAAAAAAACTAGTTGGTACGTTTGAACTACTTTAGCTTGTTCCTGAATTTTGTTAATGAATAGGTGAATTAATTAATTCCGGTTTCGAATAATAGCCATTTTGTGTTTCACTTTCCACATAACCAATACAAATTCCATCTGCTATAGGAATTATATAACATTTCTGTATTTTTTTAAGATGAATATTTTCGATTACAAGAAACTCTTATCCATAAACTATTTTGTAAATAAAATTTGTATTCTATATATATTTATTTGATCTAGGAAGCGATTTAGTAACACAATTTAATTTTGAATGTTAAGACATATTGGTTTCAGACCTGCCAAACAGATCTGGTTAGGGACAGTGGGCACAAGTACTTTTTATCGGTGGTTCAGGACACTTCAGTGTCGGTAAGTGAAAGAACCTCTATCGTTATTCGAATTGTCGAACGGAAATAGACACCTTATACATTTTAAAGCCCGAACACCGGACGCAGGCGACGTTTATCCTGGCCTGCATCGTAACGAACTTCCACGACGGTCAGGAGGCTGCCTTGCAGAGTTCCCTGCTTAGCGTTTGCCTGGAGCAGCTCAGCGATCCGTATCCACATCTGCGGCAGTGGGTGGCCATCTGTTTGGGGCGGTTGTGGGATCACTACGAGAAAGCCAGGTGGACGGGCGTGCGGGATATCGCTCACGAGAAGCTGTACACGCTGCTGAGAGATCCGTGCCCAGAAGTAAGTACATATGGGGCATTACACGTCAAATCGACCACTTTTAACGCTGACCCCTTTCGATTTGGCTGAAACTTTTTTTTATTGTTTTCTACCCCATTGAAAACCTGTCCCGAGTTTTTTTCAAATTTTTTCACCTAACAAGTCATGAATTTTTGAAAAAATAGCTTTTTTTAAAATACCATAACTTTTTCAAAAATTGAGTTATCGGGAGGATTTTCCTTTAAAAATTTTTGTTTTTAAATGTACATTTTGAAAAAAAAAATAGATCAAAATTATCTGGACCTATCGTCACTGTTTTTTTTTTTCAATTTTCAGAAAAAAAGAAAATTCTTCAATGATTACCTTTTGATTTTTTTTTTCTTATAAAGAACTGACATTTTTTATAAATCTTCAAACTTTTACAGTGGTATTTTTCGTTTTCTATTTTTTTTATTGATTGAAAAAATTTTTTTTTTTCAAATTTAGCTTATTTCACATACCATTTTGAAAATTTTTGAAAATGTATATCGAATCCCAAAATTGAAATAAATATATGAAAGAAATAATTGAAAAAAATTTAGATTTTTTTTAAAAAGTTATGAAAAAAATAGATCGTTTTGAATAATTTTTTTATATTTTTTTCGAAAAGTACATCCAAAAACAAAGAAAATGAAAAAAAGTTGTTATTTGGTCCATTTTTCGACGAACAGTGGGCTTTAAAAATAGACATGCAACACATTTGAACTCGAATCAATTTGAAACCATCCTCTTTTGACTTTTTGAAATTATCAGCATTCGCTGCATAAAATAATTTTTTTCAATTTTGGGATTCTATATACATTTTCAAAAATTTTCAAAATAGTATGTGAAATTAGGTAAATTTGAAAAAAAAATTTTTCAATCAATAAAAAAATAAAACAAAAAAGCAACTGAAAAAATTTGAGGATTTATAAAAAATGTCAGTTTTTTATAAGAAAAAATTTTTTTTCAAAAATGGTAATCGAGAAATTTTCGTTTTTTTTCGAAAATTGAAAAAAAAAACAGTGAAGGTAAGTTCAGATAATTTTGATCTATTTTTTTTAAAAAACTACATTTAAAAACAAAAATTTTGAAAAAAGAAACGTCCCGAAAACTCAATTTTTGAAAAAGTTATGGTTATTAAAAAAAAGCTATATTTTTCAAAAATTCATAACTTTTTTTTTGTTAGGTGAAAAAATTAAAAAAAAATGGGGTTGTTGAAATATTAAAGATAATGTTTAATTTATAAAATGGCATTTAGAATTGTTTATTTATTAAAAAAATTAAAGAAATTCAAATGATATATTTTAATGTTATAATGATAATAACGAAATGATATAATTTTCAAAATGTGTTGTAATAATCATTATTTTTATAAGTAAAATTACCCCCTAATTTCTGGACACTCTATAATGATTATACATTACATTAAATTTCCTTGGTTAATGTATAATGATTATACCTTACAATAAGTTTCCTTGGCCAATGTTTACAAAATAAAAAATATATGTTGCCATGGAATCCAAACTTAAAAACAAAACACTGTTTAAATCATCAACTGCTTTCCTTTTATGTGTGATGTTTTGTCATTAAAATGCATTACAAACCTCAAAAATCTCATGTTCTTTGTTTTTTTTTATACATAAAATTGCACATTTGTGCGGCAGGTAAAATTTTTCCATTTATCCACTGCAACACACGAATTTCGTAAATTTTTTTTAGGTTAGGTCGGCCGCCATATACGCCCTGGGCACCTTCATAAATTCCGTGACGGAGAGGTCGGAGCACGCGAACAACATCGACCACTCGATCGTGATGACGCTCGTGAATACCGTCAGCGGCGACATGAGCTCCCTGGTAAGGAAAGAACTCATAAACGCCTTGCAGTGGGTCGTGTTGTCCTTCGAGCACGTCTTCGTCAATCTGGCCGTGAAGGAGCACAACAGCATATCGCCCGTTCAGGACACCATCCCCCCGCTCGGGATGCGCAGGGCAGGAAGCAAGTAAGTCGTTTGCCTTGAAAATTCAGGAACTCAGTTTTTTTTAACACGATATTTCAAATTAACATTTAAATTTGGAAAAAACATTTTCTGTGCTTATTTTTTTTGAGTTTTATATAAGGAACTTAAAAACACCCTTAATCTGTTTTTGTTTTGTTTCTGCGAATCCTGGAAACAGATTTTTGTTATGGGTGACATATAACCTACAAAATATATGTCATCTAATTGTCATTGTTACTCAATGCCTACTGGTACAAAGTATTGCTTTGTACCTACTGGCAGAGCCTACTACGGATTTAGCTGATTCCTAGATATTTGTGGTGTTATTCAATGCTAGGCAGGGCATATAGGACGCAAAGTACGTGTTTCCCACGATATTCTTAGTTAGAAGGAAATTTTTGTAAACTTTACATCTAAATTAATGCACAGCTAAAAATGGGCCTCAATTTCGGAATTTGTGTTTGATCTTGGCGATCGTTTTTTTTGCAATTGCAGATTTGTTTCTCGGTAGCAATGCTAAGATTTTTTTTATCAAAATTTCGGTTTTCGTTAGAGAAAAATTTATTCCTTCTTACAAATGATTTAGTCACGGTGCTTGTAAGCAAAGTATATTTTGTACATTTTAATAAGTTTTTTGTCTAAATCCTATAGATTTTGTCTCTTTGTAATGTTTGTATTTTTTTTCATAGTTTTTCCACTTTTTTTGTTTAAAAAAAACCCACGAATGTTTTAACAGAGACAGGGACCTCCCTAGACTAAACGATTACGATTCGATAAAGAAACCTACCAACGACACCGAGAAGCACCTAGGAAGAGTCCCGTCCAGTCCGTACTTAAACCACATGGGCAACTCGACCATGTCGCAGAGCCTGGGCACGCTGCCGGGTTTGGGGTACGGCTCCGTATACATGAAGTTGTGGAACTCGCTCTGCTCCTTAGAGACGGATCCCCATCCGGAGGTGGCCCAGATGTGCTGTACGGTTACCGGATACATCAGGGCGATAGCTAAGGTAAGTTAATTAAGTAATTTTTTTAATAATTTCTTAATTTTTTAAATAATTCTTTCCAAAATATTTGACGAAAATAACATGTTTCGGATATTATTTTCAATATAGAAAAAAGTCACATAGACTTAAATCCAGTAACCTCGCCGGCCAAGATATAGGTGCATCTCGTATTCCTCCAATGAATGTTCCTCGATATATGTGCAAGTTTTTAAGTAGATTCTGCACCTATTAATTTTAATTACTTAATTTCGAATTTGCATTGAAAATGCTATTTGTAAACAGCGTTACGGTTTTTATGTTCTACTATCGCGTACGTTCATGGAATTCATTGGGTTTTCCTTCCAGGAACAGCGTGACTTCGTAGACAATCGCAGCGTAAGCTTACCTCCAAGTCCCAAACAGAACGCTTGCTTCCCTGGAGAAAGCCCGCCGACATTACACCCCCCAGGAGATCTGCAAAAATTGACCAGGTACAAATTATTGCACTCGAGAAGTAATTTTCATGCAATTATGGACTCGTTCTTCCATTTAGGCCTACTAGCAGATCGAGAAGAATGCACAGAAACACACTGAACGAGAACAACGACGACAAACTTCAGTTTTGTCGCAAGCCCCTGGTCCACACGAAGTTCGTGGAGTGGTCCTCGAAGAGATTCGCCCAATCGAACAAGAAAGACAAGGTGACCAAAGATCCCGAGTCCTCTCACTTTTACGAACGGGACTGGAGACACACCAGGTTATAAAATAATAACTTTTTTCCTAAGACAATCCTTTGATCGCGTCATAATTACAGGAACAACGATATAAGAATAGAAGCGACCGAGGAGCAACGTAGGGCGTTATCGTGCAGGGTGGAATCCCAGGTTTTCCACACCAGGACGGCGGTGGCTCCGTCTCTGCTCCAACTGCACCCGTTCGATAAACAAATCGCCGTAGCCGGAAACGACAGCTTTGCGTAAGGCGTCGCATTTCGTAAGTGTCCAAAATTCACGGTAACTTTACATTTCAGCATCTGGGACTGGAGCACGGGAGCCAAGACGACGATTTGCCAGAACAAATCATCGAAATCGGTCAGTTGTAAGGTGACGGCCATTGAGTGGATCAACGGGCACGACATAGCGATGTTAATGGTAGCTTCGGATGACGGTAGCGTTAAGTTGTGGCGGCCTAATGTCGGAATGAGCAGGGAGCCCTCGCTGATAAGCGCCTGGCAGGCTTTCAGCGAACTCAAACCGACCGAGAAGAAAAGTGCAGGTGAGAGATGTTGACAATTTTTGGGTATATTTGGCCGCCTTAAGCAGATAAATCCACACCAACCTTGGTTCTACATTGTATACGAAATTTGTATTCCTTATTAGTTATTCAATATATTCGACCAAACACGATATTTTCTATCTTAAATAGGTAAATCCACATAAACACCTGCTATATAAAATTTTCCATCTTGAATCGGTAAGTCCGCCCAAACTCTGGCTCCACACTGAATATTGAATATTCAGGCTATTTGATGAATATGTGGATAAAAAGATGGTTTCCTGTGGCAGATGTTCAAATATTTATCGAAGACTATAATTTTCTGTAAATCAGCAAAACTTTGGCTCCATGCTGTATATTAAGTATTCAGGCAATTTGACGCATATATGAATAAAAAGATCGTATTCTTTGGCAGATATTCAAATATTCAGCTGAAACCAACATTTTCTATCTTGAATTGGTATATCAACACAAACTTTGGCTTCATACTATGTGAAATTTTTAGTATTCAGGAAATTTGACTCCATATATGCATAAAAAGATTGTATTCTTTGGTATATTTTCAAATATTCTGCTGAAAACCATAATTTACCTTCTTGAATGGGTAAATCAGTAAAACTTCAGCTCCATGCTGTGTATTAAGTATTCAGACAATTTGACGCATATATGAATAAAAAGTTCGTATTCTTTAGCAGATATTCAAATATTCAGCTGAAACCAACATTTTCTATCTTGAATTGGTATATCAACACAAACTTTGGCTTTATACTATGTGTGAAATTTTTAGTATTCAGGAAATTTGACTCCATATATGGATAAAAAGATTGTATTCTTTGGTATATTTTCAAATATTCTGCTGAAAACCATAATTTTCCGTCTTGAATGGGTAAATCAGTAAAACTTTAGCTCCATGCTGTGTATTAAGTATTCAGACAATTTGACGCATATATGAATAAAAAGTTCGTATTCTTTAGCAGATATTCAAATATTCAGCTGAAACCAACATTTTCTATCTTGAATTGGTATATACAAACTTTGGCTCCATATTATGTGTGAAATTTTTAGTATTCAGGAAATCTGACTCCATATATGGATAAAAAGACTGTATTCTTTGGCAGATTTTCAAATATTCCGCTGAAGACCATAATTTTCCGTTTTGAATCAGTACATCAGCAAGACTTTGGCTCTATGCTGTGTATTGAGTATTCAGGCAATTTGACGCATATATGAATAAAAAGTTTGTATTCGTTTGCAGATATTCAAATATTAGTTGAAAACTAATATTTTCCATCTTGAATCGGTAAATCAGAGCAAACTCTGGCTCCTAACTATGTATGAATATTTAGGAAATTGTCAGAAATTTGATATACTCGGCCAAATTCTAATATTTTCTATCTTGAACTGGTAAATCAGCACAAACTCTGGCTCCACACTGAATATTCAGGCAATATGTCACATATATAGATACAAAGATCATATTCCTTGGCATATATTCAATGTTTTACATGAATGTTTTATATTTATATGTCCATATAATCTCCATGAATATTCTGTGTTCAGGCAATTTGATGTATGTGTTGATCAAAAGATTGTATTCCTTGGCAGATGTATGAATATAATTGGCCAAACATGAACATTTTTCACCTCGAGTCAATAAATTTACACAAATTCAGTTCCACACTATGTATGAATATTTAGTATTCAGGCAATTTGTTGTATGTGTGTATAAAAAGATCGTATTCCTTGGTAGATACTCGATATATTTGGACAAATGTTTTCCATTTTGAATACGCAAATCAACACGCAAAGAACTCAAAATTTTCTTCGCAGATAATAATTTCTATGAAAACTTTACGTTTAAAGATAAACCGTTTTAACAAATAAAATATGAATATTCATAAAAAAATCAAAAAGCCGGAATCAACAGTGTAGCATTCCTTACAAATAATTATTTTTCTAAAGATTTTAATCCATTTAAGGACAACCGGTTTAACGAATATTCATACACGAATATTTACAGTGAATATTCATAAAATAATGAATATTCTAAGTGTGGAGCCTGGGCGATTAATATTAATGTAAAGTGTGATTTACTCTTTTTTTTTTTATTTTATTCTTTTGACTCAGGCATCGTAATGACCTGGGAGCAGTGGACGCAGACCCTTATAACCAGTGGCGACACGAGGGTCCTTAGATTTTGGGATGCGGACAAAGAACTAAAGGCGTTCGACATACCTACAGGTAACTTTAATTCTTACATGTTTATTATTATTTTTTTTTTATTATTGATTCGAATAAATGTTATCAAGAGACCCTTGACCGAAGCACTTCAGCCTGCCCAATTCTGAACATTTTATGGACTCTCACGTTTGTTTTTAGGCACCGATAGTTCGGTAACCTGCATCGACGCCACCTTCTCCAGCATCTGCCACGAGAACCACAAGAAGTACCACAAAAGGTACGGACTCGACGACGAGGGCCTCATAATAGACAATGACGAGGGCCTGGCGGCCTACCACGGCCCTCGGCTGGGGATGTGTGCCGTGGGGTGCGGCGACGGTTCCGTCAGGTTGTTCGACCGCAGGTGTAACCCCTCGGAGGCGAAAGTGAGGGTGTGGATGGAACATCCCTCCTCCGTCTTAGGGATCCAGCTGAGGGATAACCTGATAGTCAGCGGAAGGTAAGCTTAGTCGCATTTTGAAGTGTTTGTAATTGTCGGGAGGGAATTATACGAGGCGTTAATGCAGATTGGTTAAAAAAGTTTCAGTTCACTTCGGTTTCGGAATACAGGGTGTTGAAATTAAAAAATATGATATTTGACTTATGTGCAAAAATTGTCGTGAATTGGTACACAAGTGGCGGAGACACTGGGGAACGCTATCATTTCTTAATAAAATTTTATAGTTCTTGCCGTAAAATTTTGGCGCAACTGAATATTTCGGAAATTGGATAAGTGCACTTATTTTTGGTTGGTATTGCTGGTAAAAATGATATCTTCATTTTATTTGTTTTTCAGTTATTACTTTTTTATTTATAATCAGCTAACGACATACTTGAATAAAAAATAACTCCAAATATACAGGGTGACCCATTAAGAATGGAAACACTCGCGTACAAAAGTTGTTTATGGACCGATTTGATCCGGTTTTTTTTTAAGAGATAGATCTCCAAAAGATCTATCTTGATGCAAAATTTGAAGACGAAATTTTGATTTTCAAGGCCTATTACGAATTTTTTTTTAAGTGAAAAATAGCCAAATTTTGTTAGCGATTTTTTTATAAAAAATCTGACTACACTACTGGATTTAGGAACCCCTCAAATGCATTTGTACCAATTTTTGCGAAAAAAAGTTTGCCCGTAAAAAGTTATGACAATATCGGCATCACCAGTGTTTGCCGTTGTCGAACATATTCTTTTATAAAAACCGAATAACACCCATAGGGAAACAAAATTAAATAACAAACACTGGTTTAATAATTATTAATAAGAATCATAAAAACCAGTATACACAAAATAAACAACAATTACTCTAATATAAACAACAATTGATAAAAAAAAGTAATGATTAAAAAATTACATTTTTAAAAATGAAAAAGGAATCTGTCAAATTAATGTACACTAATAACGTCATTAAATTAAAATTTTTGTAGCTTCCACTAATCCTCCGTTTAATTCTATACATTTTTCATAAAGTTTTTTTATATTTTTTACATTTCGTAATTGATGCGCGTTAATCTCCTCACACGCTCCTTATTCTAGTGCACAATACCACCCGGTTAATTGGCCGTGTCTTATAAACTTTGGACTTAATAAAGCCCCACAGAAAAATATCAAGTGGGGTAAGGTCCGGAGATCGTGGTGGCCAATGAATTAATCGACCTATCCAATGATTGGGGAAATTCTCGTTAAGCCACTCCCTGACTTGTCTCGCATTGTGTATTGGACATCCATCCAACTGAAAATGTAGATTTACTCTTTCTTGTAATGGAAGATTATCGACTGTATTAAAAAATTCGTTCTGAAGGAAATGTAGAAATTGTTCGCCATTCATATTCCCTTCAAAGAGGAACGGACCAATGACTCTCTCGTTAAGTATCCCACACCAAACGTTAACTTTCTGACTATATTGTCTTCGGCAATTAATTATCCGCACTGGATTTTCTGAAACCCAACACCGCGAGTTCTGTGATGATACAATTCCATTAGTCGTGAATGTGGCCTCATTGCTGAATAAGATATTTTTAAAAAGAAATCGGTAATTGAGATATTGTCCCTGTGCCCAGAGACAAAACTCCATTCGTTTCTCATTATCGCCTGGTTCGAGTGTGAAGAAACTTAAGTTTATAGGGTTTTGTTTTTTTTTTTTTAGGCAGTGTCGGATACTATCTCTAGGTAAATTTAAATCTAAACTAGCAATCCTGAGGCTATTCTGAGGATTGTTTGTAAAATAATTTAAAATTTCCTGCTCGTGAATACGTCTTCTCTGTTGATCGTCCCTTTTTAAAATGCATTTTGATACAGCACCATATTCCATAAAAGTATTGTTTATTTTAAAAACTATGCTATGCGTAATTAAAGGTCTATCTGGATGTCTGTTGTTAAAAATTATGCACGCCTCTCTTGCAGTCGGATCACTTTCTCCAGTAATATATAAATTTTGTCATGTAAAGTTAAACTTTGATCCATCGCAAAGAATTATGGAACTTATTTAACCATGCACAAAAAATATTACAATGTGCCACTACTTGTGAAGTTTGACCTTTTTTGTCTAAACTTCTATTTTTCACAGCCTATCAAATTTTGTTCATATCATTTTTAGGCAACATTATTTTCTGGAATATTTTTTTCAGAAAATTCTTCACAAATAATTGGATTATGGTTGTAGAATCCAGTGGCTTTTTGAATAAAAAAATTATAAATGTAATTATTTTTGTCTAAGAAGGTAATATTTGTAAGTTTTGGCATAATAACCACGAAATAATAATAATTTGACGAACTTGTTGTTTATTTTACGTATACTAGTTTTTATGATTCTTAATAATAATGATTAAACCAGTGTTTGTTATTTAATTTTGTTTCCCTTTAAAAGAATAGGTTCACCGACAACGGCAAACACTGGTGATGCCGATATTGTCATAACTTTTTTAGGGGCAAACTTTTTTTCGCAAAAATTGGTACGAATGCATTTGAGGGGTTCCTAAATCCAGTGGTGTAGTCAGATTTTTTATAAAAAAATCGCTAAAATAATTTTGCTATTTTTCACTTAAAAAAAAATTCGTAGTAGGCCTTGAAAATCAAAATTTCGTCTTCAAATTTTCCATCAAGATAGAGCTTTTGGAGATCTATCTTTTAAAAAAAACCCGGATCAAATCGGTCCATAAACAACTTTTGTACGCGAGTGTTTCCATTCTTAATGGGTTACGCTGTAGAAAGATCTTACTATTTTTGCACTTTAGGTAAGATTGCATTTTCAAGGGACCTCCTTGCAAATCGAATTATGAAATACCAATAGAACAAAAGCGTATTTAATTTCGGTTGGTATTATTAAAAAACTATATACATTTTTAATTTTATTTGGAGAAATGAGGCATTTATTTTCTCATTTATTATACAGGGTGTTACAAAATTTGCGGACACGGACTGTGGGATTATTATTTTTCAGTCAGACCAATATTTTTCGAGATACGGCAGATTTAAATATCCAAAAATCATAAAAATTTTCAATTTTTAACCATTTGATAAAACAATTATGACAATCGAAAATGGTTCAAAATTTCCACTCTCTGCTGCTAAACATGCTTCAGCATGTTGTGGTTACCTAAATAAAACTTTCCCTGGACGTTCGTTTGACAGAGGTGGTTCATTAGCTTGGCCACCTCATTCTCCAGACCTACCGCCATGTGATTTTTTCTCTTGGGGCTTCCTTAAAACGTTGGTGTATAGAACACCAGTGGCAAATTTGAATGTATTTCTGAAGCATGTTTAACAGCAGACGGTGGAAATTTTGAACAATTATTGTAACTTGTTTGTCGTAATTGTTTATCTAATGATTGAAAATTGAAATAATTTATAAATATAAATATTTTTATTATTTTTGCATATTTGATAGTGGATCGAAAAATATTGGTCTGATTGAAAAATCATAGACACTTTTTTATCGCCTTATCTGGCTTAATATAATCCCACAGTCTGTGTCCGTGAATTTCGTAACGCCTTGTATAGACCGACAAGGTTTTAACCAAACAACACGAATATATTTTATCAAAGGATTTTGGTGCGTTGAATTCTCCGAGGTCCAAATTTCTCAATTGGCTCTGGTTTTCAAGATTTCCTAACCTAAATGTGCCAAAATCGCGATTTTTTTGAGATATTTGAGGTTATGTTACATAGAAAAGTAAATTTTTTTGCTGAAACCATCAATGGGATCTTAAAGTACTATACTTACTCTTTAATATGTATTTGGATTTATCCCTATATCATTTTTCGTCATTGAGAAATTACATGTTAAAATTTAGTAGTTTGATTTATTTCTCGATTTCTGGAGTTTATGCACTTGGAGTTTATGGGTTTTTGGACTTAGGGTTTTTGGGCTTACGGTTTATGAGTTCGGGGTTGAGACAATTAGCTTCTTTTCTGTGTAAATGTATTTCCAGATTGATATAAAGCATAAAATATCGGCCATGTATCGAATTTTTAGAAATATTTTTAAGTTTATTTAGTTGTGCAACCTGTTTATAAACTTATAGAAGAAGTTTTATTGCTGACTACACGCTGCCAATAAAAAAATATTACAAACGTTTTTAATCATAATTTTATTAAATAAAAAAAAAAAATTAATAAAACAACTGTTAACAATAACAAGTACCTTTGACAACGATATATTCAATTAGTTTTGAAGTAGTCTCCATTGGTGACAATACACTTTTGTGATGTCCATCGGGTTGAGATCCGGCAAGTAGGGCGGCCATTTCGCTGAGGTAATGAAACTTGGAAAATGGACCTTACACCAGTTATTCATCTGAGGTGCTGCTGTGCCCATGGTTCCACTTTTTCCAAAACCTGCCACCTGTACTCCTTATCTTTTTTGACTCCTTAAGAAAAATTAAGAGGTTTTTTTTGTTGCTGGTGTAAATTTTGTCCCAAATCATCAGCAATTGTGGATTTTGGCAATGTTTGACATTGGCAGATGGTCCCGAAGCCTCTGCTGACCTATTCCTATCGTTTTGATGATTATGGGCTTGTTCTACAGTGAACAGCTTCTCGTCCCTGAAGAGGATGGTTTCTGTCAGTACCTGCTTGTTTTTGCCCGTAAGGAGCTGAACGTTTTGGAGCTTGTACAGCTTAAGTCCTAGGACTTAAGCTGTACTAGCTCCACTTCGCCATTTGCATTTGCATTTGCCCCACAATTGCACTACGTTTATTCGACATCCTAAAAACATACCACAATTAAACAGTATCAAATGGAAAATACATACACTAGTACAAAAAGGTATGGAGAATCCAATAAAACACAAATTCTTTGGGTGCAGCATACTACTTTTGTGTTAGGACGTATTAAAGTTCATTTTATTGACACCATCAGCATTTTTATTAGTTCCGAATATGTCTCAATATTCCTGATTTGATTCTAATAACCCAGTCAAAGTAGCTAAAAAAATAGGGGTAAGCTTACAATAATTCGCATAAAGCTGAAAATTGGTACAAATGTTGGGAACGCCATTATAAATGAAATGTGAAAAGTCCCCGTCGATCCCACATCTGCAAAAAAATTTATTCAAACTCAAAGTTTGCAAATATGGGTTTTTTGCCTTTTTCAGCCAAACGGTAAGTTTTATCACAGAAATAGTTCAGACAAAAATTGTAGATCATGTGATTATCTATAAAAATTGTTCTTATACTTTTTTTCCTAAGAATCACCATTTCTGAGATATAGCGATTCAAAAAGTTGAGAAAGTTGCGTTCTCCATAATATGCTCACGTTTTCACGCCACCTGTGAGATAGTGTTTTTTTTAACGTGGTTTTCCCAGTAGGCCTATTCCACGATCTACAGGGTGTCTCATAATTAGCTGCCAACCCTGAACAGGCCGATTCTATGATCAAAACTAAGTAAAAAAGTTCATATGAACATGGGTCCGGAAATGCTTCCTAAGGGCACAGGGACCCATTGAAGAGGGAGGAATGGAAATCATTTTTTTGCAATATCTCTCAATCGCGTTGTGATAAATGAATGAAATTTGGTATACACAGCTAAATTTTGATGAGCAATTTGATGGACTAATCCATTTATTTCCACAAGGTCCATTGGGGTGGGTACGGGGGGGCCCTTGGTACTTTGCGTGTGTAACTTTTTCATCTTTGACTTTTTAACAAATTGGACAGCAAATTCCGTTTTCCCGAACTGTTTTACGTTAAAAAGGTACTCTTGTTTCAAATCGTTATCTTTAACGGTTTCTGAGAAAATCGCTCTTGAATTAATCCCACTTTGGTCAATTTCATAGTAATTTAAAAAAAAAAATTTTTTTGTTTAAATTTAATCTAATTTTAATAAAAAAATAATAATAAAAAATTAAATTAAATAAAAATTAATCCTTTAAATGGAAAAGAGAGGAAAGGAAAATTATTATTATTATTTTTTGTTTAAATTACTATGAAATTGACCAAAGTGGGATTAATTCAAGAGCGATTTTCTCAGAAACCGTTAAAGATAACGATTTGAAACAAGAGTACCTTTTTAACGTAAAACAGTTCGGGAAAACGGAATTTGCTGTCCAATTTGTTAAAAAGTCAAAGATGAAAAAGTTACACACGCAAAGTACCAAGGGCCCCCCCGTACCCACCCCAATGGACCTTGTGGAAATAAATGGATTAGTCCATCAAATTGCTCATCAAAATTTAGCTGTGTATACCAAATTTCATTCATTTATCACAACGCGATTGAGAGATAATGCAAAAAAATGATTTCCATTCCTCTCTCTTCAATGGGTCCCTGTGCCCTTAGGAAGCATTTCCGGACCCATGTTCATATGAACTTTTTTACTTAGTTTTGATCATAGAATCGGCCTGTTTAGGGTTGGCAGCTAATTATGAGACACCCTGTATTGTGGTCCTGTTTAATTAAATAATATTGTATTAAATAAAAAATGGTATTATTGGAAATTATTAAAGCGGTGTCAATTATGAGTAATTGGATTTGTCTGATTGATAATTATCTAATGGAACTTGAAGTGTAATGTCTTCTTCTTCTCCTCCTCCTCCTCCTTCTTCTTCTTATTCATGCTTAATACAAGTAAATTGTTCTAACAGCGATGCATCAGATGTCTCTTCGCTGATATCGTAAGAATCCTCTTCGGATGGCGATTCAACATTGGAGCAAGACTGGCCTTGACAACTGGTACATGCTAATGAACAAAACAATCCAACTTTTTTGCTTAGATAAATTTTGAATCTTATCTTTTGCAAAAAAAAATACTCGTAACAATAAACAAGTGCAATTAGCTTGTCTTCCCCCAACCTCTGCTTCTGCTCATCAACATCTATTTCGAGTATATTATCAAGTTCAAGTGTGGCTTGGTAATCGACTGGACCCAGAAGACTGGGGTTGGAAGTTAATTGACAATACATTGGAACCAGAAAGCACCGGAAAAACTCCTCCATACAACTTTTTGCGATTTCAAAAAGGGGTGTAGTGCTAAGTGCGGCTGCAAAAAAGTTGGATTGTTTTGTCCATTAGCATGTACCTGTTGTCAAGGCCAGTCTTGCTCCAATGTTGAATCGCCATCAGAAGAGGATTCTTACGATATCAGCGAAGAGACATCTGATGCATCGCTGTTAGAACAATTTACTTGTATTCAGCAGGAGGAAGAAGAAGAAGAAGAAGACATTACACTTCAAGTTCCATTAGATAATTATCAATCAGACGAATAGTTTTCCCCAATTACTCATAATTCACACTGCTTTCATCATTTCCAATAGTACAATTTTTTTTATATAATACAATATTAATTAATTAAACAGGACCACACAATAGATCGTGGAATAGGCTTACCGGGGAAACCACATTAAAAAAAACGTGCCAAGTGTACCTACTACCTCACAGGTGGCGTGAAAACTGTATATTATGGAGAACACAACTTTCTCAACATTTTGAATCGCTATATCTCAGAAATGGCGATTCTTAGGAAAAAAGGGTAAGAACAATTTTTATAGATTGTTGCATGATCTACAATTTTCGTCTGACCTATTTTTATGATAAAACTTACCATTTCGCTGAAAAATGCAAAAAATCCATATTTGTGAACTTTGAGCTTGAATAAATTTTTTTGCAGATGTGGGATCGATGGGGACTTTTCACATTTCATTTATAATGGTGTTCCCAACATTCGTACCAATTTTCAGTTTTATGCGAATTATTGTAACCTTGAATGTCTATTTTGACCGGGCTAGTATTTGTTGTGAGGTTTTTGACTAAAATAAATTTTTCTTTTGAAAATAATTATTTTGGCACAATTTTTTTTTCAGTTCCGCTGGAGACGTAAAAATTTACGATATTAGAAAGAATGATTCCATACATACCACACAGGCTGTTCAGAATTCCGGAATGTCCTGCATTTCCATACATCGTAGCGCAAATACCTTTGCTTGGTAAGTAATTATACTCATATCTCTAAAATTCTATCGAAATTATCGTTGGATATACAGGGTGTATGTATCGTAAGTTTGTTTTCTCAAATTCTGTTGTGAATTTACATGTGTCTGCCCAGCATCGGTGTATTTAGCAATCAACCTGTATATTAAAATTATTGACGCATATTTATACATGAGAATTTAAATATCGACGCTGGCACCTGTACATTTAATTTTCTTTAGTGGTTCCCTGAACCAGTCCATAAGCATCTACACACTGAAGGGCACCCTGATCAACACGATCCGCTTCTACGAGGGCTTCATGGGCCACAAGATAGGTCCGGTGACCTGCCTGAACTACCACCCGCACAAGGTCGCCCTGGCCACCGGCACCATGGACTGTTGCGTCAACGTGTACAGCCTGGAGGGGCGCAGGTGACGAGATTCCCAGCCCTAGGCTCTATTATGGGGCCTGCTGGGCTATTATTAGTACACTGGATGCGAGACGGTCGGCGACGGATTGATGCAATCACGAGACGAGAGGGGTTTTTTTCGACGACGTCTGGACCGGATCGTTTTTGTTTTGAAGTCTGAGCGATTGTGTTCTCGACGGCTTCGGGGAAGGTACATAAAATCAAATTCTTTTACAGGAAAACTATTTTTTTTTTTTTTGAAATAGTTTTGTTGAAAGTGGACGTTTTTTTATACTAATTTTGCTTCTTCATCAATTGAAATGTACAGGGCGTTTCAGGATTAATTGGCCAAAATCTTTGTTTGAATTCGAGTGTCCAAAAAAAAAAAATGTTTTGCGTTCGGGAACTTTTCGTTTTCAAGTTATGGGGTGTTGAAATTTGGAATAAAGTTGATATTTTCCAAAATATCTCTGAACGTGTTTGGAGAATTTTCATCAAATAGGAATAAATAAGCGTAAACACGGATGGTCTGCGAGTTAATGTTCTACGTGATGTAATTGTTGTAAAATTAAAAAATGCGTGATATATTTTGAAAATAATAAAAATTTTCAGTATTCTCAAATATTCTGTAAATATTCTCGTTTTCTCAAAATTGCCCTTAAGTGCTCCATATTTTTCAATATTTACAAAAACGGTATAACGGAATTTGAGAAAATTAAGAACGAACTTTTGACCTACCTTGGTTGCTCTCGGGCTAGGCTCTGTGGGGGTGGACCCCTTATCCGAACTCCTAAACACACCCTGGTGTCTATTTCGCTTCTTATTGTTGGTTCTAAAGCCTCCAAGGACGGAACTGTTTCTTAGACAACAGTAGTAGTGGCTCCTGTAACTGGTCACATCCAATACTTCCAAACATTGTGCCGTTTTTCCTGTCGGCATCTTCAGTGGCGACTATGCTTTGCTACGACAGATGAACCGAAGCGGCAGTGACGTTCGCCTCCACAGAGCCTAGCCCGAGAACAGTCAAAGATTCCTAGCAACGTTATTCCGTAAAAATCTGAAAAACCATCATGAGAAACGTAAGATTTCGTTTTCAGATTTTACAATTTTTCACAAAAGTTGTTTTCGGTAGTTTAATTTTATGTCCCGTTGTCCATTGGATGTGGGTGCGGAATTTTAGCGGAAGAAAAAAAATTATACGGGTATTTGCTTCCCGAGGATCTTTTGGCACATTGTCGGAAATTAAAAGCGTTTTTTTTTATAGGACCAACTCGGTTCTTTTTTTCTTACTACACGAACAAACTGTTTATGAAATTAATCGTTAAAACCGTTCTTGTTTACCCAACTTTGTATCGCGGGTATTTGTTTAGTTTTTCACTCACAAGTTCTGAAATTATCTTTGACTCTTCTTGTAAACGTCGATTGAACAACAGCTTTTCCACGCTTGGAAATTCTCAGCTCGGAAGGATTTAACATTGAAATCCTTTAATTCAGAATAATTATAATCCTTGTAAACATCAATTGAACAATAGCTTTTCCACGCTTGGAAATTCTCAGCTTGGAAGATTTTACATTGACATTTTTTAATCCGGAATAACTATAATCCAAATTGGATTATTGAATTTAGCCACTCTCAGTTCAGGTTACTGGATTTGCGCATTAGCTTGTGTCCCGAATCATCAACGTGTAAACAACATACAAACAACAACAACATACGTGTAAAAGTGGCAGAAACGTTGGAAGTCACTTTCACTAAAAACTTCCATTTGTAACTCCGTATGATATTTTAACTTACATTGCCATGACTGAGTACTTAGGAGGGCTCTATTGCAAATAGCCAACCAGCAACACATTTTTATAGTTTTTATTACGCAGTTTGTATAAATATGAATTAATGCACAAATAATAGACTTTCCTCCCTTCTAACGCAGATTTTCTATAAAATGGAGTTAGTTTGAAACTCAACTTACTATTTGTTGTAAAGAAATTTGTAATTTACGCTGCCGCTTGTTCAAAAGTACGAAAAGTAACTTGAGTTTGAAAGGAACTCCATTTTATAGAAAATCTGCGTTAAAATGAGGGAAAGTCTGTTATTTGTGCATTGATTCATATTTAGTCAAACTGTATAATAAAATCTATTAAAGTGTATTGCTGGTTGCCTATTTGCTATGGAGCCCTCCTAATTGTACGTCAATCATTTGTTGTTTAATAAACTTCGTAGAACTTTTTTTTTTTGAAAATACAATTTAAAATGCGATGTAAGCAAATTCCAAAACAAGGAAATTTATATTTTGTTAAAGAAGTGTGTACGACCTGAAAAAAAAAATGGAAATTTCTAGGTTAATGATAATATTATGTTTATAATCATTTTTCTTCAATTGAATGTGAATATTTTTTTACTTAATGAACGTTTCTAGAATTATTTTAAAGCTAATGTAAGTTAAGAGGGCTCTATAGCAAATAGGCAACCAGCAATACATTTTAATAGATTTTATTACACAGTTTGCCTAAATATGAATTAATGCGCAAATAACGGACTTTCCTCCATTCTAACGCAGATTTTCTATAAAATGAACTTAATTTTAAACTCAAATTATTTTTTGTTGTAAAGAAATTTGTAATTTGCCGCTTTTGAACAAGCACTATCGTAAATTACAAATTTCTTTACAGCAAAAAATAGTTTTGAGTCAAACTAACTCCATTTTATAGAAAATCAGCGTTAGAATGGAGGAAAATCTGTTATTTTTGCATTAATTCATATTTAGACAAACTGTGTTATAAAAATCTATAAAAATGTATTGCTGGTTGCCTATTTGCTATAAAGCCCTCTTAATTGTACCTCAATTGTTTAATAAGCTTCGTAGAACTTTTTTTTCGAAAATACGATTTAAAATACGATGTAAGCAAATTTTAAAACAATCATTGACAGAAAATTTATATTTTGTTAAAGAAGCGTGTAAGACCTGAAAAAAAAATTTAAATTTCTACATTAATTATTTTTTCATGATAATATTACGTTTATAATCATTTTTCTGGAAGAAAATTGAATGAGTATTTTTTTTACGAAACGGACGTTTCTAGAATTATTTTAAAGCTAATGTAATTTAAGAGGGCTCTATAGCAAATAGTCAACCAGCAATACATTTTTATAGATTTTATTACACAGTTTGTCGAAATATGAATTAATGCACAAATAACAGAGTTTCCTCCATTTTAACGCAGATTTTTTATAAAATGGACAGTTTGAAACGCAAATTACTTTTTGGTGTCAAGAAATCTGTAATTTACGATGCCGCTTGTTCAAAAGCGGCAAATTACAAATTTCTTTACACCAAAAAGAAATCCGAGTTTCAAACTAACTTCATTTTATAGAAAATCTGCGTTAAAATGGGGGAAAGTCTGTTATTTGCGCATTAATTCATATTTAGACAAACTGTGTTATAAAAATCTATAAAAATGTATTGCTGGCTGTCTATTTGCTATAGAGCCCTCTTAATTGTATCTCAATTGTTTAATAAGCTTCCTAGAACTTTTTTTTTTTTTGAAAATACGATTTAAAATACGATGTAAGCAAATTCCAAAACAATCATTGACATAGAAAATTTATATTTTGTTAAAGAAGCGTGTAAGACCTAAAAAAAAAATTGAAATTTCTACATTAATTATTTTTTCATGATAATATTACGTTTATAATCATTTTTCTGGAAGAAAATTGAATGAGTATTTTTTTTACGAAACGGACGTTTCTAGAATTATTTTAAAGCTAATGTAATTTAAGAGGGCTCTATAGCAAATAGTCAACCAGCAATACATTTTTATAGATTTTATTACACAGTTTGTCGAAATATGAATTAATGCACAAATAACAGAGTTTCCTCCATTTTAACGCAGATTTTTTATAAAATGGACAGTTTGAAACGCAAATTACTTTTTGGTGTCAAGAAATCTGTAATTTACGATGCCGCTTGTTCAAAAGCGGCAAATTACAAATTTCTTTACACCAAAAAGAAATCCGAGTTTCAAACTAACTTCATTTTATAGAAAATCTGCGTTAAAATGGGGGAAAGTCTGTTATTTGCGCATTAATTCATATTTAGACAAACTGTGTTATAAAAATCTATAAAAATGTATTGCTGGCTGTCTATTTGCTATAGAGCCCTCTTAATTGTATCTCAATTGTTTAATAAGCTTCCTAGAACTTTTTTTTTTTTTGAAAATACGATTTAAAATACGATGTAAGCAAATTCCAAAACAATCATTGACATAGAAAATTTATATTTTGTTAAAGAAGCGTGTAAGACCTAAAAAAAAAATTGAAATTTCTACATTAATTATTTTTTCATGATAATATTACGTTTATAATCATTTTTCTGGAAGAAAATTGAATGAGTATTTTTTTTACGAAACGGACGTTT